ATTTGCCCTCACCTTAGCTTTACGCCTCCCCTCGGGGAGGCGTGTGTGTGTAACCCTTGGAATCACAGGGATCCTTTCGGATTGTTGTTGCTTTTGTTTCTTTGGTTTGCAGCAGGGGGCTGTCTACCCCACAGAAGTGACAGTCCAACGAAGAGGCTTCTGCGGCGGTACTGATATCACTGGGGACGTCCAGTGACGTACTTGCGAATTTTGTATGGCATGAGGCTAAGCCCAGAACCTCAAGACATGATACCTAAGTAGCCGCAGACTTGCACGCCACGACGTCATCTTGTCGGCTCGTCGATCGTCTTTTCCTTTGGGCCCTACTTTCTCTTGAAGACCTCCAGGATCCAGTGGTTCATACGTGTACCCTTAGGAATTGGAACCCTAGGCCGGCGTGTGGCACCGCTTTCAGTTCCGTATGCATATCCACAAGTGTGTGCGGATGGTGGTTCCTCTATTTTGGCTGTGACCCCCTGATGCACCCCAGGGTCAACAGTCGTCCACCCGCTGCCTGCCTTGAACAAGAGGTTTCTATACGTTTCTATTATATTCTATATTTTCTTTTTGGGGATGACGGGCGATCCAACCTAATCTATCTAATTGTTGTCACCGCCTCGTCATCAACACCTAGGGTTGGTAGTATCTCTATCCTGTGTCCCTCAATCTGCCCTTTGGAAAGAGCGACCCATCTGAAGCGTCAAATCAATGGTCTCAATGGTCAATGGTAGTGGGTGGGTGGGTGTATGTTTATCCACAATGTCGGCGCCTATGAAAAGAACAAAAGGTCGGACATCATTAGCTGCTGCGATGAACTGAACATGCCCGAACTATAGTACTTGTTGTATTGTAGTAGAGGGCACCAGCGCTTTTTGTTCAAGCGAGAATATCGTTTTTGTGTTGTAGATCCACAATCTTGTCTCCACCATCTCGTTGGCCATAGCTACATATTATAAGTACTTACTTTTAAGCCGATGGCAAGGCCGCTCCTGCCAGCACTCCGCACCTTGCCAATGCCATGCTATAGCTTGTGAAAATTAGTTTGCTTCCTGACATTGTTTTAACCTCAATTACGTACGGTGTGTATCGTCAATCTTTCGCAGTCTAGGTTTTGTCATAACATGTGTTTGACATGGTTGTGAGGAATAACATTCGGAGCAGTGGTATGGAAATGTTAGCTTGTGATCCAATGGCCCAAAGTTCACGCATAACTGCAGGAATGTAATCTGACTTGGGTATATCATGGGCTGAACTTGCAATTTTCTTCAGTTTTGTTTGGGCATGCAAATCCCCATCCGCCTGCCTGGAACGCGGACGACAAAAACATATGCCTACGACTCCCCCAAGGTCCAAGTTTTGCACCCCAAGCAATGCTCAATTCGGGTACAAAGTGAAGCATTTAGGATTGGTTGTCCAGAATTTTGAAGCAATGACCAGCTGTGTATTCTCTAAGCATAAGAAGACCGGATGCTCTTCACTTATGTCCCCAGGTGCATGAGAGACGATGAAGACTATTGCGCATTCTATCGATATGTTCCCATCAGTCGTTCGATCAAGATGTCACGACCCCATTGATTGATACTTCACTGTTCCGCCCTGTGCATCATGGAATTCTCCTAAAGCAGACTGCCATCTATAATTGAGACATATTGAGACTTACGAGCCGGGCTCAAAAAGAAGCGACCCATGAACAGTTTTCGACCCCGAATTATAAAATTAGATTATTGAATTGATTTGAATTAGATGCACCTCAGGTACTAGCGTCAAGTCGACTCAGCTTGTGTAAAGTCGACTCGAAACCGTGTGCCCTTGCAGCACTGCACTCTAGAGGGATATAAAAGCATAGATTGTATTGATCTACAAGTGCCCATGGTGTGCCTGATTGTCACTTGTTTGTATTTATGAATCTGTTCTTTGGGGGAGGGCAGCTTCCACAGCGGTGAAGGGTCAAGGATTTGTGACAGTTTTGACGCAGAGCTCCTGCTGCTTTTGCTTTGGTTGACCGTAGGAAGAATGTACAGGACGACTGTAGGAGTCGTGCTCGCGCGAACCTCGCGCGGGGTCGCGCGGGGCTCGCGCAGAGGCCTATAGTCACTTGTGTGTGTGTGCGCACGCAAGCTATTCTCTAAGTTGTGCATTGGTGTGAATGGTGCTGTGCCATTGAGATTTGGGCTTGAAACATCTAGAAAGCAAGGCCAAATGCCTGCCATAACACAGTGTGGGTACACTTTTCTTTGAACATATCATTTTTCTGCCGTGCTCATATTTCAAGTGTGCCCATTGTGCCTTGACCAAGGAGAGTCGACTTCACGCGAGTGGGTTGACTCCTCGCTGAAACCTTGTGCCCATGCAGTGAGCTGACTTCACGCGACGTGGGTTGACTTAAGTACGCCGCTTGTAGGTTGTGCTCATATGCATTTTTGTTTGACTTACCAAAAAACCATAATGCATTCACGCACGCCTTGTACATACTGTGTGGCTTTTCTTCGTACGTGCAATAGTGGAAGGGTTCGTGAGGAGCGTGGCGCAGCATCCGCAAGTTCGAGGTGAGTCATAAGCACTTGTTGCACCCATTTGTAGTGGCGGAAGCTCCGCGCATGCACATTTTGTGCGCATGGGTGCACAGGGGATATACATATATACTTTATATGTAGACAATATAGAAACTGCAAAAAGAGGAATGATGCTACATCCCGGGGCGGTAAATCTAACGTTTCGAGTAGAACAACAGGAAGAATCGGGTGCAGTTTTGATGGTGCTGCCTTGCACAATTCTCCAAGTCTTGCCAGAACCTAGGTTGAATTGTATTTGGAAGGAATCTTTTGTAACCAATCCAAACAGCATAAGATGCAACAAGGAGAAGGAAATTACGATTACGATGATGAAAACGTAGTGGATTCCTAAGTGTCCCCACCACGGCTTGGAGAAACCACTCTGGGACACTTGCTTAGGAAGCAATGGTGCTAGTGATGCTGCTTTAGCTGCTTGTTTGTTTTGCATCTTCCGGGTGCCATTTGGGCATGTTTCTTTGCCAGCTAACAGAAGCTCGCAAATTCAGCATTTTTGCACTGGTGGTCTGCGAAAAGAATCAGCCAAAGCATGTCTCGTTTGTCTTCCTTCATTCTATCAAGCACCATCCTATCAAGTAAAACAAGCAGGAAAAGTACACAGAGCAAGCACCAGAACCCTGCGCGCGGAAGCAAACACTAAAGCGCCGATGAACAACCCAACTCGCGCTGGCTCAGCGAAAGCCCACACCCAAACAAGTAGCGGACAGAAGTTACCTTTCAAACAGCAGAAGCAGTCGCGTGAGGGTATTGTTATATAAGTTAAAAACAAAAATGAAAGACAATCAGAATTCACATGGGTATTTGTGCTATAATAGCATATAATAGCTATAGTTCAAGACCCTTTTTTCTCCAAAAGCGTCTTTGAAGGTTACGCACACACATAATTATGCTTTATATAGGCCTATAGGCGTTTGAAAAGAACGCCTTGAAGAGTGTGCACTGGCCGAACCCAAACCCTCCAGGAGTCGGTGGACGACGCTGCACCCGAAGTGGCCATGGCCGAGGTGGGGTGAGTTGCGGCTACCAACCGAACAGTCGGTGAGAGACGGGTTCACTGCCCATGGCACTCAGCCCCCCACCGAACCGAAACGACTGACCAGAAGCCCTTTTTTTCTGTTGAGTCTCAAGTCACGGGGATGTACATATATAGATTGGATGTTTTCCAAGGAGTCCTTGAAGTAATCTTTCCAGGATAGACTCAAGCCAGTATCATTTGGACATTTGGAAAGCAGCCCAGAGTACGCCTTCATTCTCCACAGTTCTAGGAAAGAAAGGCGATTTGATGGTTTACAAATAAGGATTCCAAACCACTTCTGGAAGAAGAATTCCTGTGTCCAAGTCCAAGGGAGTAGGAGATGTTGTCGACAGATGTCCTTTCAATTGCATTTGGTTTGCTTGTTTGAAACAGGACCAAAAGGGATGGCTCGAAGCATTGTCAGAGCGGGCAATGTTCCAAATCTAGTGAGTCTAGTAGTGAAGTGAGGGTGTGAGGTTTTTGGGGAAGGAGACTCCCGCACTGAAGAACTCAGAGATGAGCGGCATCATTTGCTTGGGGATTTTGTGACCGTGTGGAAACCAAAATCTCGAGACCAAAATGTTGAGACCGGAGCATGTTCAGATAGTCACAGGAAAGCAAGTTCAAAGCCCTTATTCAGTGGTGTTCCGGTAGGTCCGGTAGGTGATTCTCCTGGAATCAAAACCTCTGAGATGGGGAATGAACACCAAGCTGGCAGCTAATTGATGTGCTGTCCGCGGAGTGGACCTTGTTTTGGATCAGTTCCAGTTCTACAGTTCTACATGAGTGAAAAATGGTTCAGGCATCGCATTTTGAGGCCAAACCAATCTGTTTTCGAGCTCGTGCTGCCATCTGTGTGCATGTCGCTAGGACTTCAAGCGACTTCTTGCGGCTTTGCCGCCCGATAAGCGCAAAGTGATAGGCGGGGCAATGGGTGGCCCAAGGCTTGGGGCAAGTTGTACGGGTTGGCTATAGTTTGAAACCCGGCAGGATTGAGTTTATCTCAGGTGGTTTCTGGGTTTCCTCTATGACCTCTAGCCTAAATAAGCGAAACAATTGGGGAGCAAGGGATTGAGGTAAAATACATGCAGTGTTCACTTGACGGTGCTGGGGCAGCGGATATCTTGACACATCTAGAATACATAAGAATACTGTTGATTGCTATTTGGGGAACCACGACTGTTTGACATAGTGGGTATGGCACGTTGTCGGTGGAGAGATTTTGTCTAAAAAAACCTTCAGATGGGATCAAATGGTACCTTGAAATGGCTTGAGTGCACCATGTTTCCTCTCGGACTCTTCATCCATGGAAAAGCCAGCATGTTCTACAACAACTCGGCTTATTTCGACCAGCACAAATATTTGCGCAATGCGATGTTCATTCTTGGGAGGGTAGACCCAGTGGAGCCAAGATGAGACACCACCATGTGTTTCGACGATCGATTGTGGTGACCTCTTGTCAAATTAGATTAGATTATTGAATTTATTGAATCTTCTCGCCTTACTTCTTTCGTTAAGAACTCCCTTACAAACAGAATAAGTCACGTATGCCGAAATCCTCGTCTAACCGTTGATCTTTCCTCCGTGACAACTGTGGATCCGCCAGGGCAAGACTTGATGGGCCTCATCGACGGTGATGAGGTCGAGAAGATCAGCGACGCGCCCTTCAACATGGAGGCGTTCTGCATCATAAACCTATATAAACTACCACAGTGTCGGCACATAAGCCTTTGCACTGACGTGGAAGGGTTGTTCGTTGCCTCGGTTTATTTCGTCCGGGCTTCGTCGGTTCTTTAGATGAGCGGTTGCTGGTTAGAGTAGAAATCTGAGGAAATTTGCCAGTTGCCCAAGAAGGTAGTGTGACCTGCGTAGGGGGTTGTGCCTGGCAGTCTTCTTTCAGCGCCACGTGGCACACTGCGGCAGGAGAAGGCGCAAGAGATCGCTGAGATTGAGCGGTTGCAATGCGAATTGCAGGCTCAAGAGGAGACGAAAGCAGTTGCAGCGGAAATCATTGATTGTCCATGATTGTCCCATTTCCCATGAGCTTCAGAACATACAAGAGGGATGGTTTGCAGTCCAAGTCCTTTGCTGGTCCTCTATTGGCACAAGACTTTAATTTCTTGTGTGCACTGGTAACTTTCTTTGGAGGATGTTTGGCATAGGTATACACCACCACAGAAGTCACAGATGTTCACACGCAGTGGTTACACAATCCTTCACCTTAACAACGTGCTCGGGAAGAAATGAAAAAGCTATGTCAACTTCTGACACATTGTTGGGGACAGCCCCAGAGGAATTTTGAAGCAAAAACAAGTTGTTCCCTTCTATTTCGATTAGAGAGTCCCTGCCAGGAGCAGATCAAAGATCTAAAGACCGAGATTGCCAGGCAGGTCTGTGCTCCAGACATTTGAGTGGACGAAAGCAAAACACCTAATGTAGCCAGGTACCGCTCTACTAGGCAAGCAGTGGTTCTAAAGATGAAGAAACATGCGATGCTACGTGGTGGTGTAAGAACTTCCGAACGGAGTGACATGTGGTTAAGTAAAATCATCTCAAATCTATTTGGCCAGTCCAAAGCTCCTAAAGTTTAAAGTGTCCTTTTTATGTGGGCAGAGCATTCGAGCTACTTGCTAAAGGCTAGGGATATAGGGCAAAGAATCCCATGTCCGACATTCACTCGGGTCCACTCTGGGAGGATTATCGGGCAGGTTGGGTGAGTACTTAAGAACTAGGATGCAAGTTGATTCTGGTTGAATAAACAGTTTGCCAAACATTGCCTGAAAATGGGCTTCTTCTGAGTGTTTCATGCCCACACAGGTTCCTAGAACGTAGAAAGCGTAAAGTGACATGCACGACATTCACAGACTGCTTTCATCGAGTTTGTTGTATGGTTTGTCCGGCCCTTTGATTCACCAGCAACCCTTTAGTCAGAGTGTTGGATAGATGGCATGCTGTGGCCAGCCTCTGGATCCCACTGTTTGGTTGCGGTCTTTTGTGCCGGCGATGCCTTTGCCTGCCACACCAAGAAAACAGGAATGGATGAAACAGGTGACTATGACGAAGAGTCAAAAACCCTTAAATTCGGAAGTGAGGGCGAGCAGTGCGATGGATTTGATTTGTATAGATATACAATTATCTACACTGTATAATGAGTCATTTTCCAGCAAGTTCTGGCGAGCGTTGGCAAACGAGACGTTCAAAAAGTCGCCTACTGCAAGTGCCTTGCAGGGTGGAGGCCGAGATTGAAGGAAACGAGGGTGAGGCAGGACGCGCAGGCTAGTTGCCAAGCACAGCATGAGTTCCCCTAATCGAAGTGATTGAAACTGAATCGTCAGGAACTGCCAATCAATCATTGGATAGTTTTTCAACCTTTGCTTGGGAATACCTGCTGGAGAAATCCCTCATGACATGGGGGAGTACCTCGATTACCTCGATTCGATGGCAATGGTGCAACAGATCCATGTATTGGATTGGTGATAGCCTTTGCATTTGGCCATGGCTCAAAAATTAGCATTCAAAATCACTAGTGAAAGAAAAGATACACCAGAACAGTTTTTTGGAGCAACAACCGTCTGACTTGTATTAGTATGCTGACTCAGTCGATCTCAGTTGTATGTTCTTTCTTGTTTGGTGCTTTACACCCTTGTGGTTGGTGGGGTTTGGGGCCACCCTCAGGCTATTTAGCATTTGGGCAAGCTGTCTCACATCCATACACAATTGTGCCACATCCACAACTCTTCGTGACAAAAGAGTTGTGTTCTGGGGGATGCACTGTGCAGGGTACAACCGTGTTTTCACGTGTGTTTCCACATCGATCAAGCAACTGAATTTCCATGTACAACCGTGTTTTCACGTGTTTGCACATCGATCAATGGGCCTGGATGCAACTGAATTTCCATGCAGATCGCAGTCGACTTCCCTAGAAGCCTGTACGTCCAGGGTAGTGTGATATTGGAGCAATGTCCTGACTTGAGGTCAGTGTTCTTTTGGATTCCTTTCAGCAAAACTCACAAGTTTAGTGCGAAGATCGCGCAAGCACAAATCTGTTCAAATTACACCAATGCTAGCTGCTAGTTGGTAGAGAAAACCAGCTTCCAAGATGGTGCAGGGATCAAAAATCGACCTCCAAATCACCAGACATGAATGATGAGAGTCTCCCCAAGACGTCCGTGTGGGGGATCACCTTAGCGGGACAACCCAAATTCATGGATTCATGTTCCCCTTTGTTCAGGAACATGCGGATGGTGTCTTGGCTGTCTCAGCTGTCTCGTGTTTGTTGTGTTCAGTGAACGACGCAGGAAACCAACAGCAGGATTTGTAGGCTCCAAGGGCTGAGTATTTTGGGAGCTCGTCCCAACCTTGTGAGACCAACTTTGTGCAATTTTCACGGACCATCCTGGCCTAGGGTCGGCTTTTGATAAGTCTTTCATTCCTTTGGAGTCCCTTTAAGAGTGTTTTTGATATGTTTGGGGCCGTTTCTAAAAGATCTCAAGTGTTCTCTTGCGACTGATTATCGATTGTCTTACGACTGATAGGTGCAGGCTGCTTGTTTTCAAACACCGTTACTCAGAGAACCTCAAAAAGTTTCTACTTTTGAACAGGAATCATTCTAGTTCAACAATATAAAAGCTACTAGAACTAGACTCCCTACATGACCTTTCCATGTCCCTACATTACGGTTCCGTGCACCATCCCCAACCCAGAGGTCGAAACGACTTAAAACTAGAAATCTCTTCCAGAGGCGGTTTGAGGTCGAGATGTTACTGTAACCAACCTTCGTTGCTGTATATGTGTGCAGTATGTGTATGTGTGTGTGCGGGGGTGCATTGCGAATCCTAGAGTCTCGTCTTTAGAAAATACTTTCGCCAAAGATTGGTTGACGTGTTGGGGCCACATGTTCCCTTTCCATTTGACTCGCGTATATATCCGTATCCGTGTTTAATGTTGTTTGTGGAGAAGCTGACTAGGTTCGAGGTTTTGATCTCTGATTATCATGTCCTATTCGATCTTGCGATAAGTGTTGTTTGAGCGAAATGCCAACATAGAAGGCTTCATGGCCAAGTCTCTACTGCGTTTGTACCCATTTGTGTGTGTGTGTCGCAACCAAAAGAACACCAAGCAACAACGGGTTCAGCGGCCGATCACGTGGTTCACTGAGTTGTGGCATCAGAGGAGACCCGAGGGTGGCTGTGGGGCTGAAAAGCAATGGCCAATCTGAGGGTTGACCAATACTCCCAAGCTATATACTATATAACTATATATATATGTATATTGAGAATGGTTCGAGGAATTGAAGAAATACTCAGTACTCGTCCTCGTACTTGTTTGAAGCCATACAGTATATGGAAACTGCTATGGGTTGGTGGAAGTTGGCAGGATGTCATGTCTCTCAAGCTGAGTATTCTACCAATGTCTATGAGAGTGTTTTTGTGGTGTATTCCATCAACAACTCTTGTTACATTTCACGATGGTGTTGGAAATCTTCCAAGAATATCTATCCAAGATCATCCCTCCGCTCACCGTCAATTACTTGATCCATTTTCCTTTGTGGGGCAAGTGTGACAGTCCTCACCTAGGCATGGCGAACCACTTCCAAACTTGGGCAAAACTTTGTACCCAGTAACGATGACTTGTTTGCCCAACGTCAGAGACTTTGCATCTACACAAGTCCATGAACAATGGGCCCTTTTTGAAAAGCCAATTTTGTGCTGGATCTAGTGGAACATGAGCCCAATACAACCAATGAGAAAAGGGAAACTGCGTTTATTTATTGTGCACATTGCTATTGGGAAAAGCATGACGCTAGAGTTCTTATCTCTACATTTCACCGGTGTTCCACGCTGCCTTACATGATAGTGAGGGTTTTGCAGACACATAGATGAGATTGACGAAAATTGAAGAATAAGAAACCATATGTTTCGACGAAACTCCAAGATTCTTGGAGCCATATTTGTAGTCTAGGGCGGCGCTAGCTGCTACACCCGCATCCTTATGCCTTTGGTTTCTGCAGGGTGTGCAACCGGGGCGCCTTTTTAAAAGCATGTTTGTCTTGGTATACAGTATATCCATGCTCATTTAGATAATCCGTTCTCCCAAAATGGGTTCTTGACAGGTTCAAATAAGTACTCGGTAGGAATCAAGCGAAAATTGGATCAAACCGACCTGTGCATCAGGACGAGGATGGCGACGTGCACTACACATAATTCTAGTTTTGAAAAGAATAGCAATCGTAGTCCTTCATTGTTTTAAATACAAAGCAAGGCCTATGATTAAAGATATGTTATGCTATTGTATATTTTCGTTTATGGGTGCTGTTATTGAGAATATAGTATAATTGAAATAAGAGAAGCAATGTGTATATATATATATTACATATTTTTCAGATGTATAAGTATACATATTATATAGTTTGGATAAAGTGAAAGATTCATATTCGATTATGAATGCTTTGTTTGTGTTCATTGTCTTGTTTGTTTATCAAAGGTGTCAATCATTTATTTTTTTTTTCAATCTCGTTATATTCGCGTAGTGGATGTCAAGCCCGATATCAAAGTTATTGAAGTACTAGCGATAGTTGTTCAACCTAACCTGTTTAGATCCGAAGCTTGAGATGAATTTTTGAAGAAGCAAGGGCCTTTACGATGCGGCCTTTATGATGCCGCTTGAGACTTTAAGAAGGTGAAATTGGAATCAAAGGAATGAAAGGCCGGAAGTAGGAAGGGAGGCCAATGGAAATGCAATAGATGGGTAGTTGATGTTAGAAGACACGGAGCAGGAAGGAAGGAACGGAGGAATGG